AAGAAAAAATATTCATTTTTCATGACGAACTGAATACTCAAAAAAACCAGAACAAACATGAGCTGATTATCAGCTTACATTGGTACTTTAAGAACTCAAGCACAGTGTCAGGAATTCAAAAATATGTCAAAATAGCACCTTTAGGAGCAGAAAAAACAAACAAGTAGTCTTTTTTTAAAAAAATTATTCTTCCAAGCTGTGTAAAACCTGCATACTTGAAGGTCCCAAAGAAATGGACAAAAGCATAATCTCAGGCATGGGAGGTGAGTATTCCTTTGGATAGTTTTTCTCCATAGATGCGTAAATGGAGAACTCCATGCAAGAGAGTCCAGGTTAGACATTGCACAAAAATCAATGCTTCTCGCTGTAACAAATTAGCTTCACAGGCAAAAGCAGCACAGAGCAGAGGCAGAGAGAAAACAGTCTGATGTGTCCTTACAATAGCTTTTTTTTTTTTTTTAATAAAAAGTTTTCCAATTTAAAAATTATCAGGACAGTCTTTCAGTTGCTTCTTTCATTTACAAGGGTAGTAGTTACCTTCAAGCAATATAAACTTTATTTATTTTTTACAGCAGCTGCGGGTCAGCCTTGGTCTTTCCCTCCAGAAGCATGCACTTAAAATGAAGTTAAAGTAAACTGTCCTTGGACAATGGCATCGCTCTGCCTTGCTTCTTGCCTGGTTTTGGTGTTTTATTGAAGGACAAAATGCAGTTAAAAGACACAGTGGTGGGGGGGAAGTGGCTGGGAATAGAGGCTTTCCTCCACAGACAAAAAGGCAAAGACTTCCAGCCACAAGTCAAACCCACGCAGGGGAGGGTGCTACATGTGTTGTAAATACAGGATTGCTTACATCAGGTTCAGGTGATCTCTAACCTCCCACATTACAGTTTTATAAGCTTGATGAAAAGTCATTTCATCATCTATTAAGCACTCTCCCCACATACGCCGAGTAGAACTAAAGGATGCAAAGCCATGCAGAAAGCCGGCACCCAGGAAGATTAGAGTCGAGACAGATCTCCTCAGACCCACAGAAGTTCTTCCTTGGATACCATCACACCTTTCCAGCTACGGATTCAGAAGTACAAAAAAAAAGTTAAAAAAAGAAAAAAAGAGAAGCTTGTTAACAGGATTGTTAATAATAGGGGCTGAAAGAGCTGGGGTTTTTCAGCCTTGCGAAGAGAAGGTTCAGGGGGTCTTATCAATATGTATAAAGATGGGGGTCAGTAAAGAAGATGGGGCCAGACTCTTCTCAGTGGTGCCCAGACACAGGACAAGAGGCAATGGGCACAAACCCAAACACTGGAAACTGTCTTCAGACTTTTTTTTTTCGTTTTTTAAACTATGCATGCAGGTGGTTGAACACTGGAGCAGGTTGCCCAGAGCCAGCAGAGTCTCCATTCATAGAGCTGGATCCACAAGAGTTAGATCATCCAACTAGATGATCTCCAGAGGTCCCTACCAACCCCGATCAGTCCGGGATTCGGCAACAATAATAAAAGCAAAACACCAAGAAAGTGAGGCCAGGAGGCAGTGCGATATGGTGGGGAACACCCAGCGAGCTGCATCTTCGGTTCAATAGGGTTGTGATGAGTGTTGCGGGACATAGTTCTCAGCCGAACACAGGCTCGAGATCCCTCTGGCACCCACACAACATCCCACCACTTTTCCAAGCAGCAAGAGCAGCAAAAGCGGTGGCAATTACACCAGCTCTGGGCCAAAACGAACAGTCTCCTGCCCTGTCAGATGCACACAGCAAGGCCATATGGAGCATAAGGAGAATCTTGTCCTTTTACTGGTAATTTTTCTCCCCTGAACACTGCAATATTAATGCTACCTTTTAGAAGTCCACCAGGACATAGTTTAAACCAATTAAACTAAGATATCAATATAATACTCATCAAACATTGCAAAGTATAGCTGCAGACCCTTGAAGTTTCAGCTACAAGAATCAAATCATTAGGTTTGGGAACTCAGGGAAGGAAAAAAGTTTATTAATATATAACATAATTAAGCTTAGCTTAAAATTGATTTAAGCTTCATTCCCCCAAAGCAAGCAAAAGCTGCAACAAATCCCCAATTTCTGTAAGCAATCCAAGAGTCCTTTGGATGTTAACAGTCACCAACAACAATGTAAGACCAGGTCTGAAAGAATTTATGAGGAGGTGTTTCCTTAAGAGGGTACTCCTTGGCTTCCTTTCGGAAGGAAACTTTAACAAGAACTTTAAAGAATGTCAGCCCTCTCCAACTTGGCCACCCAGCCAGACACCCTACTGTACTGCTTTACATGTTCTTGTTCTGATAATTAAACAGATTTTGCTTTTTTAAGAAATAAGCAAGTGAAATAAGTGACAAAGATGATAATACATTTTCCTATTAATATGGGTAGATTAATAAAGTGGATGCAAGCTAGCTGAAGCTTTAACACATGAGATCATCAAGTTGAGAAAAATCCCAGAACTTCCAGTCATGATTGTTTTTTTTGGTAGCGTACTGCCTATTGCATACTGAAACGTAGACTTTCCAAAACAGCCCTTGCGCTTTTTATTAGGTGCAATACTCCTTGGGAGTTGTTTTCTCCTATTCTGAAATTAGGTACAGGTGGTAGTACGCTAACAGAATTCACAGACACGAAATCATACCTGCAAAAACAGCCCACTACAGAGCCTGCTTAAATGATATTTAACAAACTCTGACGGGGTTTAAAAGTACAGATGAACAAAACTGCCCTTGACAAAGACAGAAGATATCTTGGCATTACCTGGAAAGGAGAGAGGGAAGGAGGAAAGGCAAAGAAAAAAAATCAAGGGCATCAGATGGTGATTCAGAAGCAACCGGTATTTCAAAAAAGGCCCTTTTCATGTTTTAATCAATAAAATAATAGACATTACTTATATTGGGGATGCTCCTTCCTATCTTGTTATTGTAATAAAATCCATCAGTTTTTACAAGGGCTCAGTATGTTCTCATTTCATTAGGAAAATTCAAGGGCACCGGTAGGCACTGGCATTGAGCACGTTCGTTTACTGAAGTACTCCGGCAGGTATGTGTCATTCACACAAAACCCTGCAGAAATACTGGGCAACAACATTTAAACTATTAAATTGAAAACTTCCGATCTTCAAGCTCACTCATCTAGACATTTCAATAAGTTATTTCACGTAACCTTCAAATATTACTCCTAAATAAATCTGACCCTGCACATATTATCGTTATAACAAGCAGCTATCTAGAATAAGCTATTTTAAGGTATCCTGAAAAATCTGTAAGATTTCATATTGCCAACAAACTTATGATATATTACCTGTTGGCAGAGGCTTAAACTTTAATTCCTCTACTACATTTAATACATTTTCGCAGACTTTTTTTAGTTAGGCACTTAGAAATGTTTTACCTATTCTTTCAGCTTACTCGTAATGAAAAACTGGAAGGAATTGATTACTGAAGTGCAATAGTAGTTAAATTACAAAGAGGCATGCAGGACACGGCCAGTCCAAGCTGTCACTTTAAAGCCTGGCTGCAACACTTCGCACAGTAAGAAATTTCTCAAAAACTACCACAGAGCTGGAGAGCGCGCCGAGAGATGCATATTGAAGATGCTCAACCTATCAATAACCTTGGGAGCACGTGGATGTGACCTCTACAGAAAGAGAGCGGTGCTTCACCCGAATCTTCCCGGCTTTACGGTGGTATCCGCTTTTATTGGGTCAGCTTCCCACTGTTAAGGGCTTAGGGAGAGCTCTTTCTCCTTTCAAAGGCAGCATGCCACAGAAACACAGGTCCTGCTGACGCAGCTGTGAACTGCAATAGCAGTACGGAAGAAGAACAGAAAACGGCAAATGTCAAAAGGCTACAGTACTAACGTCTGACGTGCAGGCTCTAACCCGCTCCAGCTCCTCAACATTAAAAGAAAAAATTGCAAAGCAGCCTGAATCAGTGGCTTCTAACTGCGAAACAAACACCTACATAATGAACAGCCTAGAAAAAGTTGTTTAAACACTCCAAAGAGTTATGAGAAACAAAGCCCTGATGCTTACATCAGGGGCAGAAAGGATCCATACCCTAAACTAAACAAAACTCCTTGGAAAGCATCCCTGTGAGTGGCACAAACATATATATCAGAGTTACCGCCCTAACTATGCCTGTGTCCCTGGTCTTATTCACATTTCCTGAGACATAACTCTCTTTCTGCAGGTAAGATGAATTCAAATGAATTGCACTTTATATCTATATATGTATAACTTTAAATATTAAAACCTATCATCAGCTGCCATTTATTATATTACATGCTTGTCTGGCACTAGTGCACTAATAAAGAGCAAAGTGCCCGCAGGCATCACGCGGAGTGATGCCTCAAGGCAGCTGAGAAGAGTCACACAAACCTGCAGAAGAGCATTAAAACAAAAATCAAAAAAAACAAAACAAAAACACAGAAGGATTTACAGTGATTTAAGTAGCATTCACTTAAAGAACCACTACTCTTTTTGGAGCACAGTGAATTTTAAGCACCTCTGTATTTTAACAGAAGAGTTAAATCATTGTTACACACAGAGGAAAAACAGAAGTTTGGCACTTGTAACAGCTTTTGTTTGTTATTGCATCCTGCACTTTGCATGGCAAACGCGTATTACCAAAAAAGCAACATTCAGACTGTACAAAGACAATATTTACACAACTGACCAGAGAAACTGCAGTCAAAGTGTGTGTGTGGGGGGGAGGAATTAAACCCCTCACTTTCTGTGCTTTTACAAGTCATGTAGGCACGAGAAAACATGGCAAAAAGGAAATTCAGCTACCTGGTGTTTTCTAGAAGAGGAATTTATACAGAAAACCAGCCATTTCAGTAGCTTTAATGAAAACGCTCCTATTTTCAGCAAGGATTTTGATTCGGAAGGTAAACTGCATGAGTTTTGTGCCATCAAAAAACAAAAGGGATCCAGCTTGCCTGAAGTGATGAGCAAGTCGATTTTGTAAATTTGTCTTAGCTTTCATTTTCACTTGAGTTCAGTTTAAAGACAGGGTACCCTCAAAGATACCACAAGTCACTTGACCAGAAACAGCCAGGTTAACACAGCATTTTCACAATAACTACGACTTGAGGAATAGCTGATAAAACATTTAAAGACAGACAGATCTCACTGCGGTCTAATAAAACAGAAAGCTCTGCAGGATGCCCCTTCCTCAGGGCTAGGAAAACAAAGTGGACGTGATTCTGAAGTCCAGTCCAACACTGAACATTCGCGAGCGCAAGTGTCTCTCAACTCAGGCTGGTCAAGGCACGGAGACCAAGCCTGCTGCATGCCTCTTCCACTGCTGGGAGGACCCCTGGAATGAAACCTAGAAGTTTTGTTTTTATGTGCGCTTTCATGCATTATACCTTTACTTCTGTTTTGAGGGGCACAGCAGTAATCACCTTCTGCTCTAAGGAGCCACAAGACTATATGTGTCAAACAAGCACGGAGGACACAAAAGCGTCCGTATGATATCTCTTTTCCCCCGTTTGTAAGGTCAAATTTTTGTTCTTCATCCTTAAGTTCTCAATTTACTTTTCCAGAAGTAATCTGTGGCATGTGCAAAAAGGAAGGCAAAATGAACTTCTGGGGGGAAATTGTAGTAAGAGCTGGAGTGAAGGAGGGAAAAAAAAGGCTCCACTATTGCCATCTTCTAGGCTCTGTGCGCACAAAGCAAGCAGCACTCTTAAGTGATATACGCATTGGCCTCAAGAACATCTTTCAATGCCACGGTGAACTCACAGTGCCTAACCAGGCAGCCAGTTCAGTAAATCAGTGGAGAAGACGAGATGCTCGAAAACATGATCCTCAGAAACCAGCAGATTGCACACAGAGTTAGCTAAGAAAAATGTCTAAAAAATAACCTGAGGGAACTGGCTAGATTCAAGAGTGCTGATCCACGAGCAGCAGTGAATCAATGCTGTCAAGGCTACTGTGCCTAGCAAGGACAACTTAAACAAGTTTCTAAACAGCCCAAACACCGGGAAAATTGCAACTGCAAACTGGGAAAATTCATGAGTTGCTTCACGCGTGGTTCAGTCATCTTATGAAGGGCTATGCGGTAGCCAGGAAGATCCAGGACAGCCAGGCTGGTGACCTTTAAGAGCAGATCCTAGAGCTGTTCATCAGTGAGATATCCTACCTCGCAGTGGCCTGGGCTGGTTGCCTCCCTCCACCAAAGACCTCTGGTATCAAATCCTCCCTCTGCTGCTGGAGCAGACTCTCTCTTTCCCAAAGAAAGCCAGAAAGAGGTAGCCATCCATCTCGCTATACACAACCACCCAAACCACCAGACGCTCCCTGGAGAAAGGGGAACCTTGGTTTCTAAACCCCGCTCCAAACTGGGAGGGAACCAAAACCTGGTTATTTCACTTCCCAAAAGATACACTCATCACTGGACTAGAGCTGGACAGATATATGTTCTCCAGATCCCCAGAGACATACACCCCTTTTTCTCCCACACACACCCACAAGCTAGTCTGGGTCATCTACTGATCCGCCCCGCAGACAAAGCAGTTGGAGAACCATCCCCATCCCCTACCTAGGCTGCAATGTAAAAAGGGGTCAGAGCAACCCAGCAGCATGCAGATGCAGACAGCTTTCCTCCCGGTTCCTCAGCAGGAGCACAGGTTGCTGATCGATGGCATGCTGCCACCCAAAGGGGCAGGTCCGGCCTCCCGTCCTGCTCTACTGCTTCACACTTCATCTTCCTCTGCTTTGAACCTCATGTTCCCATCCTCGCACCAGCTCTCTGGGAGCCGATCCAACTCACTAGCTCAGAAGAGAACTCTCCAGTTTGCTTTTGCTGCGTGAGTTTTCTCAGGGCTCCCGAGCAGTCCCAGCTGCCATGGGCCTGGGCCAGGCCAAGGGGAGCAGCAGCAGGGTACCGGCAGCACCAGTGCTCCCCTTGAGTGGCCTCAAGTTAACAACTCCGGTCACAAAACTATAGCAAGCCCCTAAAACTGCAACTTTAAGCCCTAGGAGGGTTTGGCAGGTAGTGAGGCAACATGGATTTTAAAACCACCGATTAATCCATACTGGAAATCTGGTTCAACTCCTTGCTTGAAAGCAGAACCAAGAACGCCAATTGTGAGATTGAATGAGTACTAGATCTTCAACTTATGTACCTGAAACTTAAGGTGACAGTGTCTCTAGGGATTTGGCCCCCAATCTCCAACCTTGGAGTGAGCTATAGGAGTATATGTACGCTATGAAATTAAGTTTGCAACTATTTCAAGTGACAGGATTTAAGCTTCTTGGTCAAGCCTAATTGAGTGTCTTAGCAACACACTCCAATTACCAGAAGATTTTTGTTTCCTTTATTTTCCTTTTTTTTTTTTTTTTAAGTAAGAAAACCTACTGTTAATCCTACTCTAAGTGTAAACATTTAGTTCACTACCTTTAACTGCAAAACACTGCTAATGTACACATGATTTGTTATTGTGTGTATTTATTATTTAGTTTTTCTGGATGCTGAATGCCCTCAAATGGACTGGGGAGCTACAGGGACTCAGACAGCAGCCTGCAATATTTTAAATAACATTTTCAGAAGTTTTCTAAGCCACTTACAAAACTAAGCTCAAAAGTGAAATAGATACTTGGAAACATTTAATTTGATCACTTTTGAATATGGAATTTCGGTACTTGTTCAAGAAAAAAATTAAACAATGCGAAATTTTCAAAAAAGGGGATGCTTTACAGATAACCTAACAGCACTTGAGATTTCACAGGACAGCTGAAGATAGAATTAGTGGTTCACATTTCTGTAATAAAGCATTATATATAAATTTAAAATCTTAAGACATATATATATACACACACACACCCCAAGTTTACTGCAGTGCATAAATATATATAATTTTCAATATGCCAACTAATATAGTCCAGAAAATGGATGTATATAGTTCAAGTCTTGCAGCACTTCCGCATTACAAAAAATAAAAAATAAATAGTGGTCAATGGGTTAGCTGCTGCCCCTTTCCCACTCCACCCCGATCAGAACCGGAGTAATTCCGACTAGGAATCAGCATTATGGAAGGATTATGAGCAGGAGTAAGTTTTAGAATGTCTCCTAAAGGAATATTTAGATAGTATTATTTTGTACTAGTTTGGGATTGTATACCTCAGCAGATCTATAAAATAATTCGATGAAGATGACAAAACGTTTACACTAATAAAAACTGAGGGCAAAGACTGGCTTCTGTCTGAGGTCCACAAAAGCGCAGAATGGCAAGTACTACACGTAGTTATAATACTGGTAATACAAAGTCTCTTTTTCTGACGGGCAGGAAATTTCAATTCTATTTCCATCTCTCATTTTGTTCTTTTTAAATAAATATATGTTATAGCCCACCTATCACAAACAACAACAGTGAAATCAAGAAGTGAGGTAAAACGTTCTACCAGCCGATCTTCACTACGAATAAGTCAACTAAATATCACTACTGATGTGAACAAGACTTAACAAGAAATAAAATGCAAGATATTAAATTCTTCACTATAACCACACCATAAAACCCAGCTTTCAAAGTCAAACAGGAGTAAACAAGAGTTTGTACCTTAGCATACAAATCATTAGTAAACCAGCTTTTGATCCCAATTTAAGGTTGCTGTACGATTTTCCTGAACTACCAGAACAAAATTCATGCTTTCTGCAAAACAAATACATCCTTGTCACATGCCACCTTTGTTCTAATAGAGATAAAACGCACCTTCCTACAATCCTGTCTTAAAAACCCTACTTAGTTTGCAAATCTGAAGTAAAAAGGAACACAACCTAATTTGTCAAGTCCTGTTGTCTTTTACCAAGAGCAGCAATTGTCATGAACCTTTCCAATTATTTTTCCATTACTTCAAGAAAACAGCCTCCAAAATGCACAGAAACGCATGCCACCCATCTGTATACCAGTGCATCAGGCTATTCAAATGACAGCGTAGAAAAAACAGTTCGCTTATCTGTAGTGTATTGTATCTGTTTTAGATTAGTCCATTTTAAATATATTAAAAATATTCTTAGGAATGAAAACATTGCAAATGAATGAAAAACGTATGTACACCTCCACCATTTTTAGGCACAGACCTTAACTTTTGAGGAAGGACTAGAAATAAATGGTGCAACAACCAACATCTCCTATGGCATTACCGTCGAACAACAGTCTTTGCAGTATACCAGAGAGGTTGGTTTTCATATAGCTTCTGTGCATTACAGCTATCCAGTCCAAGATAGCACTTTTATTCTTACCAATTCCCCTCAGGGGAAATGCACCTTAAATCGTTTTTGCTTTCAACAAACTTTGTCAAAGGAATACCAATTCCCAGTTTCAGACACAAAGAAACTCCTTCGGTAACACAGTTTAAACTCTCTAAATGGTTAGGACTGAAGGTGTTTCCTTATCTCATTTTTATATCTCTTCTTTTAATGTATACGTAGAGTTATTTGTCCCTGAAACATGAACTGAGACTCAAGCTTTTTAAGCATTTAAAACAAAAACAGTTACCATACCAAAGCACAGCATACAGTGTAAGTTTCAGTTGCAATTTCTCAGCTTTTCCTTTATATAGAGCTATATTATGGTGGATTGCGTAGAACTCTTCCAGTCTCCTCCACTTCCAGCACAGGGATCATGGAGAATGTACACGAATGCGGAATAATCCTTGTTGAAGCTGAAGTCGAAAGAGCTTGCAGTTTGCAATCCGCAAAGCTGCACAGCCAGTACGGCGAAGGTCTGATTGAAGTAGTGGTTTAGTGCGCTGCCAGGTTCCCGTGCTTCTTTTAAATTCTCTAACATAGTCATAATTTGTACCTAAATTTGCACACACAAAGAATGAAAAATATATTTAAAGCATGCTGTTGCTACCAGCACATTTAGCCTCTAGTAAGGCAAATACTTACTAGAGTGACCTAGAGCACACAGGCAATCTCAAATCAATTTTTAGATCTATTGTTGAAATTATTTTCAAAAGAAAACAGACGTTTATCTACTTAAAAACACCAGATTTTGAATTTGCTTTTTCATATTTTGTAGAAAGCCCCACATACATACATATGTGTATACATACATCTATCTATCTATAGCCATGAAAGCAAGCATAGTCCTTCTAATGTTTCCTACCGCATGCAGCCAGCTGCTGAATGCTATGAGGGAGGAGAACTGAACACATCTGTAAGTACACCTGTTTACGGCTGGGATTTAGAGCCAAGAGCTGCTATCATCTCTATGTGAGCCACAGGATGATGTTCGCAAAATGCAGCGCTACCTGCTCACCACTGAAAAGGTGGGAGAAACAACCACAGACACCAACGTTTTTATCTTCTATTTAAACAAATGCAATAATATGCTGCTCATCTTGATCTTTTCTCATCTTTACAGTGCTAATCAACCAAGTGTTTATAATACTGATTTCGTTTCTGAAGAGGTCCAATGTACAAAACCTACGGGTACATTCCTTTAAGTCTAGCACACCTCCCCTGAGGAGAACAGCACTGGAACAGATCATCACTCAGAATTAGAGTAGAGTCCTAGCCTTTAATTCTAAAAAACAGACTCATTAGCACCAAGTATTTAAAAGACTCAAAGACAACAAGCAACAGGAAATTATTGGTTCTAATTCTAACCTGTATCAAGATCTCCAATCACATAAATGCTGGCTCCAATAGGCACAGCTCCATACACGAAAGAAGAACTAGTCGGAATACATAAGTTCTGGTCATTTAGATAAATCCACCTGTAAAAAGAAATAAAATAAGATTTTGGTATTTTATTGAGAACAAAAAAAAAAAATTGAGTTCTTTTTCCAGCTGTTATCTTTGAACAAAAAGCAGAGCTTACAAGTTCATTTCTTATATAAAAGTTGGGAATGTTGACTAGTTCATCAGGCTTCACAGCCAGCAAAAGCAACTGGTACTGCTATTTGGAAAGTTTGGGATACTTTATTTTGTAGTTACTTTACTTCAGAATTGCTCCACTCATCTGTGCAATCTATCTGGAACTAATTTTCCTTACAGCCATCCAGTATGCTTTCCTGGAAGACGGCAGGCATATAGGAGAGTGTTTTCTGCAACAGCTACAACAGTTAGTTTTCCCTGCAGAGAAAATTTTAGGCAACTTTGTCTTAAAATCAGCATAGCCATAAAAGCATAGAATTCTTAATAGTACATCGCAGGGGAAATAACACGTTGCTATAGCAAGGCCTTATTATGAAGCAGTGCCTTCCCCCATATAATTCCCTAACTTCCTTAATTGTACCTTGTCAGAGACAAGAAATCCCATGTGCAGTACAAGGAATGCAGCAGTTAGCAATGCTTAATTTTAAACAAGGGACAGAAGATTGAAATTCAGTGTTAAGAGATTTGGGGAAAGAAAAAAAAAAAAAAAAAAAAACCACACACACGCCTATTCCTTGGAATTGAAACAGAGCTTCCCAACTGCTTAGCAGGCTCTTTTCAGTTGCTTCCCAGCTCCTACTGAAATCTTAAAAATCCCTCAAGCACACTTTAGAAATGCCTCCATTTCCACACTACATCAGCCTGATCTTCCCAGAGAGCGAAAAGCAGCGTTCCACGTTGAAGCCTCTGGAAACGAGCTAAGTATGTATTTGTCACCCTTGTGCAAGGCACTGGTTTATAAAGATGGTGCATTTATCTAGACTTGTCAACGTCCTCCTTATGGTTCTGAAGCAAATTTCTGCAGGTTGCTGCTGCACTTTTGCAGAGGTTGGCATAGTTACTATTTACAGACCCTCAAGACATAAAAATCGAGGCTATTTTAGGCGACCCCCTCCTGGAGGAGGTCCAATATTTTAATAATTTACAAAAAACAGGGAAATTTGAAAAACATTTTACAAGTGTTTTATGTATTTTCATTGCCATACCTGGTTAATTTGAGGGAAAAGTTAGGAAATATCCGCATGGAAACTGGTGACCCTTGAAAATCCTGTTAACTCATGACTCACAAGTAAGCCTCTTTTCTGACACTGAAGGAGATGCTGATACATAACCATTATCTTCGGGAGAGATATCAATTTTTAAAGGCTAAATTAAAGGATAAGCTGTCCATGGGCCAGGAGTCTGCAGAAAGCACGGGAACGTGTGTAGCTGTCGCAGAGGATAATGGATGAACCAACAACAGGGAAAAGAGAAGTCTCCTGTAGTCATTCAGAAAGTCTATTCCACAGCAAAACACCTTTTAGCGTGTATCATCAGCTTTTTTTCCCTTACTGCGGTAAGGGGACATACGCAATACTTCCACTGCATTCTAGCACCAAGTTACCTCAACTCAGCTGAATAAACGGCAAAAAAGTGGGAAGGGGGAAAAAAAAAGACTGTATCAGAGAAGGGACAAATACAGAACGAGATGGGTGTGCTGAGCTTCCCCACGCAGCACACCGAGTTTGTGTCACACTGAAGAGCAAAACCTGGTTTTCACTCTAGCTACTGACTGAGCAGCCGGAAATCATGTGAACTTTGGGGGTCTGTCTACACTAGATACAAAAATACAGAGCAGAAACCAGGCATTTCGCTACTGCGCATCAAGAAAAGAAAAATTTCAAGTATCTGTAGATGCTTGTGAAAACTCCTTCTCAACCTTTCCCAACGCATATACTTTAAAAACAGCCCCAACTTTTCAGGAACACTTACAGCAGTTTTAGCAGTTAAAACTCGGAAGGAACAAAGGCAGGAAGGGCAAGGGGTCACGTTTCATCAGAATTTGACTAAGCTCCAGCTTAATGCGGGTTGATCATTTGCCTACTGTTTGAGCAGTATGAAAAAACACAATGACAAGAAAGTCAGTCCTCAGGAATCTGAAAGTGCTCTCTGGAGCACAACTCTGCCGCACGGTTCCCTAGGGTGGCTTTGCTAAGACTTACTCTGAGGAAAACAGAGGAGATGACACATTCCTTCATAACTGTAGACAAAAAATGGTCAATATGAAACCAAAGTGGGCCTCCCCTAAAATTGAAAGGGGAAGGAATCCCGATTTTTTTTTTGTCATTGTTTTGAAGTGGTATGAACTAAAAATCCATCCTAACAGCTGTAATTAGTAAGGAGGATGCTAATTGTTTCATTTCCAAATGAGAAGTAAAACAGAGAGGCAATACAGAACCAACCTATTCCAGACACGTCACCTCAAGCTCATACCAGCTGTCTGAGGAAGCCCACAAAGGAATGGAAATCTTATCAGTAGTGTTCCTCTTATCTGCCGGCATTACCAACAGCCAGCTCCTTTTCTCACTGCGTTTGTATAGGCAAGCATTTCCTTTTGATGAGATTCCTGCACACTAGGGAGCATCTTCCTAATTACAAATACCATGTTACAAGATTGTTTAACTTACTATTTACATACTGTTTAGAAGGTTTCCGTGATGTTCCAGTAGCAAAGAGAATTATTTTAAGTGGTATTTACCACGTATTGCTCCCGTACAAGCATCTCATTTTACCCCCTCACCGCCAAAACCAAAACAAAACCAAAACCTCACACCCTGCAAATTTTGATAAGTGACTTAGAACCAGGAGCTTGGGGAAAGAAGGCATAGCCCACATTTACAGAGCACCAGTGAAATGCAGCAGCGGCTCTACTCAAGGACAGAGCTCCACCAGTAGTTTTATCATGCATTTGCAAAGAATCCTACAGGTAATTTGTACTCTACTAAGGATTTCCAAATATCCATGCTGAAAAGAAAAAAAAGTGTATACAGACACCATCCAGTTGTCCACACATCTGTGAAACAAAGGCATGTCATACATTATAAACTCTGTCCAGAAGAGACTAACCCAACGAGATCTTCAATATATAGTTAACGTTTCCTATTTTCTATGGACTAAACAAATATTGGATCATGGAGCCAAGGACACCTTTCTGTCCCTATCTATCTCCCACTTCCCAAATTTTTTTTTTCTTTTTTTTTTTTTTTTTTTTTAAAAGAACAGTTTTTAGCTTGATGAACATTTTAAAAAAACAGGATGTAATGTATGCAAAGTTTAATCCATAGCCATTGAAAAATGTGCATCCTAAAAAAGCATGCAGAGCAATGTATGCATTTTCTATCATCATTTCACTTAAATTCACTCATGCATGTGATTCTAGAGATCAGCTGACAAAACTTTTATGAGTAAAACAAACAGCTACAGGACTACTTCAAATATCACGAGATTTGTTTATCATTATTCTAGCCGCATTTCATGTATATGCTGGTATTCTGACTCACTGTTAATTTTATTACTTCTTTATATAGAGTAGTTTAACAGGAGTCTCAATATTTATTATGAAACTAGTGTGAAGGTCTCTGCAGCATCCTAGTTTTCAGGAAAGTCTGTCATGGTGAAGGATAGCAACTTTGAAAAGACTATGCACTGTGAAATATTCTGGAATAGACTATCAGACTAAATAATATTAAACAAATTAAGCTTGAGTTCTTTAATCCAATTCAAGGGATATTTATACTGGCTTATATAAATCGATGTACTTATATATTGATACAAATATTTATACTTATACACTAAGTAAAATCCATAACTTCAGTTCTTTGTGGACTCTAGGATACCGAGAACGATACTAAATCCTGCATTCTCAGGCAACAAGATCTAGAGATTAGAGTGCTCAGAGCTGTAAGGCATATGCATGATTTTCATTTTCTCATACAAATGCACTGCTACACATAATTGTCAACTAACAAGATGTGATGCCTGAACCCTGTAAAAATATTGCTGTTCAAAAAGAAAATGAACGTGACAAGAGTCCTAAAGTTTCTTATAGGCAGCCGAAAGTCTGTAGTTCGTTATGAGCTACAATTATGCAGTACCTGATCCATTATTAGGGTAAAACAGTATGTTAAAAAACAAACACACGCAAAAAAGAACCCAGGCTGTGGAGTTTGTTTTGAGCCTTTCTGGATGGATACGTGCTGCTGGAATTTATATACTGTGCTTTTGGCGCAGTGCTACTAAACAATCTAACAAACACACTCCTCCTTTCCACAGATCTTCTCTTTTAACCCAGCACTTCAGACTTCTGTCAATCATACGCGCACACACCATCAATGTGCGATTTCAGCTTCAATTAGATGGTTCCAGTAACATTCCTTTCCTGTAACTAAAAAGCAGGTATATTCTTTGCAATCTCAGGTGCTTATTTGCTTCTTGTAATAGCTGACTTTCTGTAGTCCTCTTGAAATCAAGAATGAATTTGTACTACCTGTATCAGAAATTATTACTGAAACAAACAGAAGGTCCAATACTGAATTAGGCACCTTCTAACTACATAATAGTAATTTAAGATGAAGAATCAGTCTCTGTATATATCACATTAACTATGCATATTGATAAGGTATTATCCACCTGTAGTAAAGTTTATAGCATCACTTATGCTTTATTCAGAGCAGAGCAACGATGCAGAGCAGAGCATGTGATACCCAATGCAAGTAGAATTGCTTAACTACTCAAGCCCCCTACCCTGCTACGTAGCGTATGATATTCACAGATGAGAGGTGCACATTATTTAGCTTTCATCGTTCACTCAAAATAAAGTGATTTAGATTTGCTTTCTGTTATTTCTGAATCACTTGAAGAAATAAGAGTCTCACATCTTCCAGAAACAGTCAACTTCCCTTCATTTGATGCTCGCAGACCACTATTACAATAAAATTATGTTAACTTCCCAGTCACAATCTCACTGCAAAGAAAAAGAGTACCATCAAGACAGCAGAAAGTATTTTGTCTTGGTATTGGCAGGGGAGTATTTGGTTACTTCACTTTCTAGTGAGGTCCCTTTCTGATTATTTTCCCTCTTCCCCAAGCAGGTACAACTGCTCAGGTTTCAAAATCACCGTCATGGCCACAGCAGACGGTGTTCATCTAGCACAGATGTATCTGAACTAATCTGACACTCAGGATAATCGTTAGTTCTCAAGAGCTAGAGCTAACACTAAGAAATAACATGGTAACACAGCACCCTCTTCTGGTGACTGACACCAAGCCAGGGGCTGAAACTAGTGGACCTTCAAAAAAAAGAACACAAAGAGTTACAAAGCTGGAGTATCAGCATTTACTACGGAAGCAAAAGCAGTAGCTGCCCGGTCTCTCCTGGCCCTCCATTTCTGATGGCGCGCACACACACACCCCCGGGAGTGGTCTGGAGTGCAAACGCATGCTTCGAGTTTCTACGCTCAAATTGGCAAAGAGACAGAGACAAACCCTGGATATCTCAGCAGCCCTCAACACATGCTCCTCCAGGATCTAGAGTCAGATTACTCGCTTCCACCTCACCTTCCTCTGCGCCAGCGCAGCCCTCCTCGCACTGCTTGCGCTAGATAGGGTGGCACATTTCAATAGAAACCGGTTACCTATCTCAAGTTTGCATCTATCAACAAGTGTCAGTGGAGGAAGAACCAACCCAAGACTAACCGGTCTGGAATATTTTGAAGGAAGACTGACAGCTGTGGGGGAAGAAATACCAACACTTCTGAAAGTATCCATTATTTATTGCCATTTCCATAATTTATTGCCATTCAAGAGTTGAAGCAGCTGGATTTTCATTATATCTTTACATGAATCTGGTAACATCTCTGGGATGCCACGAAGTAAAAGTATAATTCTATTGGAAATAGAGCCAGCTATACAACTGCATTGCAGGCAGTAGGTGGCAGTGAGAACTACCTACATCAAGGCTGGGACTTCTAATTTTTCTAATTTTTTCTAATTTACATTTTAAAAAGCTTAATCTACAGCAACCAAGGAGACTAGAAACTTGGAAGTCATCAGCAAGAATCTTGAGCTATATACCACCTTTCAAAAAACAGAGCCAGTCTGGAAACATTTCAAGCAAAGCAATTAAAAATT